CGAGAAGTTCACGGCTACCTGTACCAGCTCAATGGACATCGTGTCCATTATTATTTGGGGGAGAAGGTATGTTGCTCGGAAATTGTCATCAAATTTGCCTGTTCGTTTTGAAGCCACAGCTTGTACTTATTACTCTTATTATAACATAAAATGATAAACAGAATAATCAAAATAGAAAATAATAGATAAAATGTATATGTTAATAAGATATTATAATCAAACTTGCGCATCACTATCAAACGCCATTCCCTATGAGCATGTTGAACATTGGTGACAACAGGATCGCCATCATGTGACTAAATATCACTGAAGGTAGAGCGAAATTTTGAAATTGCGTTCATTCAACGCAGACGGATCTGGAGCAACAAGAGGGATGCTATGTGCTGCGCCCCGTATCACGCAAAAAGGACACAGGATTTGACTCACATTTCTCCGAATCTTTCCCTTATCCCAAGTGAACGCATTGCTCATTGAAATATTGTTTCTTGCACGCGCAGTCGTCTGGACGGTGGATTCGACGTTTCTCTAAGCTGGTTAGCTAAAACCTTCGCTCCCCGCCACGAGGGATCGTCGCAAGATGTATCATCGGCTTTCTGTTGTTCTAGGCTATATTGTTGTAGTGTCATTGCATATATTTCCGTGCTTTCCAGGCTTCTTCTTATTCCAGGTCCAGGAAGCAGACTGCAGAGACCTGACATAGGTAGGGAAAACTCATTAATTCGTTTTTCTTTCTTTATACAGAACTCTATTATGGCGATTCTCGATATCGGCAAGGAGAAGAGGGCCACATCTACACTTGAGATACCTCCGTCAATCCAGCCCTGCCGTGGTCTGTCTACTGGGTGGCTGCTTTGGGGAAGTGTCCAGCGAGTCCTGACATGGACTGTCTACAAGGTGGCTGCATTGGGGAAGCATCCAAGGCATATGGTGTTTCACTGAGATGGAAAACCCTTAAAGGTAACCCGTGTTATTGGGGAAAGAAATAGACTAAAATGATTTTTTTAGTTGCAGTCTGTGTTTTCACCCTACTGGCCATTCGGACCTCAACTTTTCTAAAATCTACTGGTCTAAATTGAGATTCAGTGGTACGAAAACAAATTTCAATCATGATTACGAAAGCACTTTTGACATAAAATGTTACTGTTTAAAATTGTACATTATAATTGAATAAAATTATATTCTTTATTTTTTTCTTTTCATTAAAAAATAAACGGAAGGCGTGCACAGGTGGAAAATAATCACCAGACTTACAATTTAATTTTAATGGAGTCGCATGCATGTGAACGCGGCTAGTTGTATTATCAGTCGAAATTTTCTCTTTCATTGACCCTTGTCTCACTTAAACTTAAGGGCAATCTTCTGGTTATAAATTGACTTTTCGGTTTTGAAATGAAAGCTGTGGTGTTGTGTAACTTTTCTCTCCGGACCCCGGTTTACAGCCTCTAGAATTAACTGTTATATAGGTAAATTCCACTGTAGATGTAAACTACTTAATGTTAATGAAGGAGTACACAATATTTTGGGGCGGATCCAGGATTTTCTAGAGGGGGGAAAAACATTTTTCCACATACAAAAAAATATCCAATGTGTGGACGGAACGATTCGAATCAAGCATTGAATGAATTAATCATTAATTGATAATCAATTATCTCACGTCATAATCAGTAACGACAAGAAAGTCGAAGGGAAAAATCGAAAGTTTATATAGGTCGACGGCACTGCAAATCGCAGAGCCCATTTGGGTCACTTTTACTTCTACTCGGCAGAGAATTCCTGTTTAAATATAAAATCCCGCATACTTCAAGAAAGCTTATTACCGTTAACATCCACACATAGTCAGCCAGTTGGGACATTTGACGCCGCTCGCGCTTTACCCGTCTTAGAAGTTTACATTTCGATCGTTATTGCCAATAACACGCACTACTAGGGTTGATATTTTATATATAGAAATTATCATATGATAAACAAAATGCAAAGTTACCAGGCGCTTGTTTTCAAAATAAATTGTTTGCCAAATTGTCATAAAATCCAGCACTTATGTTGTTTGAAAAGTTAAATAAAATCTAGGTAATGCATATCAAACACGGCAAAATATGAAGACAGCTGGTATGCAGTAATTAAAAGCCTGACCCCGAAATTGCAAAAAGAGTTTGAGAATATACAAACCCGACATATATCGAGGGGAGGTGGGTAAGATTTACTAAAAACTTGTACATCACATTTTGAAAATTCAGTCAGGGGGTTTGGCCGACCCCCCCCCCCCAACCTTCATTCTAAATCCGACACTGAAGGTAGAAGGCAATTTTTTTCACTCCTATTGTACGAAAATTCGAGTGCAAATAACACTCAATAATTGAAATTGTAATTGGACATTCATTGTGTTACCAATCGATTGTCCAAATCGACGAAACGTTTAGTTAAACACGACCTCTCAACGCTTTGCTTGTGTTTGTTTGTGTATTGGTACACGTGTAGTTGACAATATTGATTCCGATCGACACGCTGAAGAGAACTAATATTACTCTAATACCACAGCTATATTTGCCGAACTGCGGGTAGCCTACATAAAGTTTCACTAAGAAACGAGGAACAGACAAGATCCAGTTCTCATTTACTACGTTGAAAACGGATAATTCACATCAACAACAACCGAACTTTTAGCACTATTTTAAAAA